GTGCTTCCAAGGGAACCATCATCAGAGCCCAGCGGACTCAAAAGTGGTAGGGCCTGATACTTCCTACCTCCGCTCCCACTGGACTATTAGCTATCGAGAGATGGAGGAGCCTCAGGTGACTCTTGAAGTGGCAGGTAGGAGTATTAACCTCTTTTTTTTTTTTTTTGAGACGGAGTCTCGCTCTGTCGCCCAGGCTGGAGCGCAGTGGCCGGATCTCAGCTCACTGCAAGCTCCGCCCCCCGGGTTCACGCCATTCTCCTGCCTCAGCCTCCGGAGTAGCTGGGACTACAGGCGCCCGCCACCTCGCCCGGCTAGTTTTTTTGTATTTTTTAGTAGAGACGGGGTTTCACCGTGTTAGCCGATCTCCTGACCTCGTGATCCGCCCGCCTCGGCCTCCCAAAGTGCTGGGATTACAGGCTTGAGCCACCGCGCCCGGCCCTATTAACTTCTTATTAGGTGCGGGAGCAGATGACTCCGTTCCTGATTCAATACAATGGACTCCTGTGTTCTCATGATGGACAAGCCCAAAAACACTGCTTTTCGTATCTTCTAAGTTGTCCTCCAGGGCCTCTGAGTTTCTCACCTGCCTTTTTAGTACTGTCTGAATGCCTGACCTCTTACTGGGGAGAGGTTTATTGACTCAGACCAAGTCATGGTCACCTTCACAGATCATAAAGCATAGAAAGTGTTACTTTTGTTCCTGACCCCTCAGGGGAAAAAAGAAGCTAAGAATGAGCTGTCACATTTACCACCTGAGGTGTGGTCTCAAGTAAATCTTGAGGTTTGGGCCATACAGGCTCTGGGAAACGCACTGAACATCTCCTCCATTCAAACCCAACTTCAGCCTAGTGCTCCTCGCCCTCGAGGATTTAATTTTTATGTCTCAGAAGTAAATAAATAAACCATCAGATCTCATGAGGCTTATTCACTGTCACAAGAACAGCATGGGAAAGACCCGTCTCGCGATTCGATTACCTCCCACTGGGTCCCTCCCACGATATATGGGAATGATGGGAGCTACAATTCAAGATAAGATTTGACTGGGGACACAGCCAAAGCATGTCACAGGTTATGAAACAAATTTATTTACGAGGCCAGACTTAAGAGAGATGAATCCCTTGACCATCCCAAGGAAGAGTGGTTAACGGAGGCAAGTTGTTTTATGCATCAGGAAAACAGGAGGGCTAGATATGCTATTATTAGTCAGCACAAAAGAATCAAGGCACAAGCTTTGCTGGCCTCTACCTCAGCTCAAAAACTGAGTTAATTGAACTTACGAGGACCCTGCAGTTGGGAAAGGATTTAAAAGTTAAATACTTTACCTTTAACTCCTCGACAATACATTTTAAGGCAAGAAGCATGAGGGGAAATTCAACTCCTTATTGCCAAATTCTTGCCGTATGAGTTACTAAGGCCATGAGCATCTCCTTACAATACTCGCATGTCAACAGATGAAAAGCCTAATGGCAAGTACAGATTTGTCAGAAACCTTACAGCATTAATAAATGCAGTTGTCTCCATACACCTCATTGTCCCCAACAGTTACCAAGTCCCAGGGGATGCAAGCTGGTTTACATTCCTAAATCTGAAAGACACATTTTTCTGCCTCTCAGTGCATCTAGATTCATAATATGTTTGTCTTTGAATGGACTGATCCAGATACACATTCAGCCTCAAAACTAACCTGGACAGTCATCTCTGAAGGGTTCTGGAATAGTCCCCACTTATTTGAAAATGCTCTAGCTAAGGACTTAAGAAATCTACAATTGGAAAGGGACACAATTATTAGTATGTAGGTGACTTGCTCATTGCTAGCCCAACTAAAGGAGACTCAAATAATAATACCGTTAAGTTGGTAAATTTCCTGGGAACTTGCAGATACAGGCTATCACCATACAGGGCTCAGATTTTGACTCAAAGACTTAAATATTTAGAACCTGTCCTAACCTCTGGAACTGATCAACATCTATAGAAGATAAAAAGTTATTTTAGTCATCCAAGGATCCCAGTTCAACAAATGACTGTGGGTTTTTTTTAGGAGATGGCTGGGTACTGCTGCTTATGGATGCCCAGATTTGGACATGTAGCCAAGCCTTTATATGATACACAAAAAGGAAAGATTTAGAGCTCCTAGGATGTAATTAGAACTGCAAGCAAACCTTCAAAACTCTCAGGGAGAAATTGGGCTCTGCTGCAGCCGTGGGAGTCATCCCCAGGTTGGATGAACAATTTTTTCTTTATGTGGCCAAAAAACAAGACATAGGCCTTGGGTAATCTTGTCCCAAAACTGGGGGACATTCCAAGGCCAGTAGCCTAATTTTCTAAGCAGATAGAAGAGGTGACCTCAGGGTGGCCTTGAAGTCTTAGAGCTATTGCTGCTACCACTTTTCTAGTAGGCAAAGCTAATAAACTAACAACAGAACAGCACCTACAGGTTTTTGACCCCACAACAAGGGAAGATGGTCCTAGAAGCTAAAGGGTACCAGTGGATAATAGCAGAATATTTATGAAAGTATCAGGCCTTATTGGTAGACACTCCAGACACAACCCTTAAAGCCTGCCAAACCATAAACGCAGCTACTTACCTGCCAGAGTCCACAGGTGCTCCCAGCCTTTCCGTCATACAGGTTGTATTAGTCTGTTCTCATGCTGCTAATAAAGACATATCTGAGACTGGGTAATTCATAAAGAAAAGAGGTTTAATGGACTCACAGTTGCCCATGGTCAGGGAGGCCTCACACTCATGGCAGAAGGCAAATGAGGAGCAAAGTCATATCTTTTACATGGCAGCAGGCAAAAGAGCTTGTGTAGGGAAACTCCCCTTTATAAAACCATCAGCTGTAATCCCAGCACTTTGGGAGGCCAAGGCAGTGGATGACCTGAGGTGAAGAGATCGAGGCCAGCCTGGCCAACATGGTGAAACCCCGTCTATACTAAAAGTACAAAAATTAGGCATGGTGGTGGGTGCCGTAATCCCAGCTACTCGGGAGGCTGAGACAGGAGAATCGCTTGAATCCAGGAGGCAGAGGTTGCAGTGAGCCGAGATCATGCTACTGCACTCCAGCCTGAGCAACGGAGCAAGACTACGTCTCAAAAATAAATAAATAAATAAACCATCCGATCTCTTGAGGCTTATTCACTGTCACAAGAACACAGCATGGGAAAGACCCATCCCCCGATTCGATTACCTCCCACTGGGTCCGTCCCACGGTATATGGGAATGATGGGAGCTACAATTCAAGATAAGATTTGACTGGGGACACAGCCAAAGCATGTCACAGATTATGAAACAAATTTATTTAGGAGGCCAGACTTAAGAGAGATGAATCCCTTGACCATCCCAAAGAAGAGTGGTTAACAGATGCAAGTTGTTTTATGCATCAGGAAAACAGGAGGGCAAGATATACCATTATTAGTCAGCACAAGAGAGTCAAGGCACAAGCCTTGCTGGCCTCTACCTCAGCTCAAAAAGCTGAGTTAATTGAACTTACTAGGCCCCTGCAGTTGGGAAAGGATTTAAAATTTAACATTTACACTGATTCCAAGTATGATTTTTTTAGTGCTTCATGCTTATGCTGCAATTTGGAATGGGTAGGGACTCCCGACCCCCAAGGGCTTTTCCATACAACATCATTCAGATTTTGAGCTTGTTAGAATGCTGCTTTGCTGCCAAAACGTGACTATAATTAATTGCAGAGGACATCAAAAGAGAGACTGACCATGTAAAAGGAAATGCCCTTGTAGATGCCACGGCCAAGGCCCCTACACTGAAAGGGCCAATGAAGCTTATGGGCTTGCTGGTCAGCATACATAGAACTGGGCCAGAATACTCTGAAGAACAAAAATGGGCCAGGGATTGCATTTCAGTCCAGGGCCCCTCTGGCTGACTGAAGGATGGTGACAAATTACTAATGCCAAGTACCAATCATAGGAATATAATTCAGCACCTTCATGATTCTTTTCACCCTAGAAGGGATTATTTGTTTCTGTTAATGTCTCGTTTGTTTATAGGGGTAAATCTTTTCAAGACACTAAAACAGGTGACTCAGCACTGAGAGCTCTGTGCCTGACATGACCCAAATGGTCAGCAATTTTCTCCTTCTCCAGTTAAACCTGTCCAAAATTGAGGAACCTCTCCAGGTGAGAACTGGCAACTCTAATGTACTCAGATGCCTTTCTGCAGGAGATTCAAATATTTGCTGATGCTCACTGATACCTTCACTGGTTAGATTGAGGCATTCCCACCCCATCTGAAAAATGTTTGCCAGAAGAAATAACTCCGCAGTTTGGGTCATGTAAAAGCCTGCACAGTGACGCGGGCCCGTCTTTCACAGCAGGTGTATCCCAACACTTATCCTCAGCTTGAAGAATCCAATATGACCTTCTTTCTGCGTGAAGACCACGGTCCTTTGGAAAGGTGAAAGGGCTAATCGCACTCTAAAGAAGACTCTAGCTAAATCAGATGCCTATCTCTAACACCCATAGCTTACTGTGGGTTTGAACTGCTCCAAAGTAAAACTTATAATGAAGTCCTGTTGAGTTAACATACAGAAGGCCTTTCGTAACCACAAATCTAATAGAGGAAAGGACTCATCAGTTACAAAAATATGTCCTCAATCTAGGACAGGTGCAAGGCACTCTGTGAGTATAGAAACTAGAGTCCTCCCCTCCCACATGGGAGGAAAATTCAGTTTCAGGTCAGCTAGAAATTGAGTCTTAGTAAAGACGTGGGAGGAAGTTCTCCAGCTGACCAGCTTTCCCCAACGTGGAAAGGACCACAGCAGGGACACCTGAGCTCCCCAACAGACGTTCAACGCCAAGGGATGCACAGGTGGGTACACCTGTGTGGAAGTCAAGCTGTTGCTTATTCTGGGAGCCCAATGCGAGGCTGGGGGAGGTGGGCGCGGGGCTATTTCAGCATTGGCGGAGGGCGGGCTGGGTCACTGCGCGTCTGCTCCTCCTCCTCGCGTTTCTCCTGCCGCCCTGATCCCGCCTTAGCCATGAGGAAGATCGTGCTCACGCAGGCCGGGCAGTGCGGGAACCAGATCGGCGCCAAGGTTGGCAGCGGGGCCTCTGAGGGCCCAGCTCGGGCCTGCGGGTGGCCAGTGAAGATGTTGGCAGTGGCGGGGGCGGGTCCCCTGCATTGCGGCCCCTGGGCTCCCTGCTGGGACGCGGTGGGACTGCGCGGCTGGCGAGGTGGCCGGGGTGGACCCCAGGGACACGGCGGCCTAGGGATGGGGGTGCGGAGGGTGGGGGTGGGAGAGAAGCTGGGGTGCCCCGTGACTCAGCCCTGGCCTGTCCGGCCCCTCCCGTCTCGCAGTTCTGGGAGGTGATCTCTGATGAACACGCCATCGACTGCACTGACACCTACCACGGGGACAGCCGCCTGCAGCTGGAGCGCATCGACGTGTACTACAAGGAGGCCTGCGGTGAGACCCCCGACCTTCCCCACCGCCCTCCTGGGAACGCGGCCTTCCCCTCGCTCATGCCCTCCCGCCCCTCTCAGGTGGCAAGTACGTGCCCCGCTCTGTGCTCGTGGATCTGGAGCCGGGCACCATGTACTCTGTGCGCTCGGGGCCCTTCGGGCAGATCTTCAGGCCGGACAGCTTCATCTTTGGTGAGCTGTGGGTGAGGATTGGGGTGAGGTTCCTCAGCCGCTCAAAATCTAGGAGTGCCCCAAGGTCGTCGCCGTGGGAATTGTGGAGCCAGGGCCCCTGAACACCCTCCTATCCTCCGAGTCAAGTCGCTCCAACTGCTTCCTAAACGGGCTTTGGGAGGAAGGCCCAGGTGTCTCCTCAAGGTCAAGAGCTACTGATGTCAACTCCCTGCAGGGAGCTGAGCTGGGGCCGCGGCTACTGCCTTCCCTGAAAATGGGCAGGAGACACCTGCAGCGAGGTCTGTCAGCCTGTCTCAGGTTTGACTCCTGACTTAATTTCTAACAGGGGAGGCTGCTGTCCTGTAACTCTGGGGGAGGGGTTTCATTTGCTCCACCTGCAGCGTGAATGGTGCGCTCACCTCATGTGACACTTGACCCTTTTTGCATTATGGTGACCACTGATGACCGTATACCTGGCCATCGAGTTGACTGGCTGTACTGTCTTACAGGTCAGAGTGGGGCCGGAAACAACTGGGCCAGGGGGCACTACACAGAAGGCACGGGGCTGATGGAGTCAGTGATGGACGTTGCCAGAAAGGAGGCTGAGAGCTGTGACTGCCTGCAGGGTTTCCAGCTGACCCACTCCCTGGGTGGGGGGACGGGGTCTGGAATGGGTACCCTTCTGCTCAGCAAGATCCGGGAGTACCCAGACAGGATCATAAACACATTCAGCATCCTGCCCTCGCCCAGGGTGTCAGCCACGGTGGTGGAGCCCTACAACGCCACCCTCTCGGTCCACCAGCTCATAGAAAATGCGGATGAGACTTTCTGTATAGACAACGAAGCGTTATACCACATCTGTTCCAGGACCCTAAAACTGCCCACGCCCACCTGTGGTGACCTGAACCACCTGGTGTCTACCACCATGAGTGGGGTCACCATGTGCCTGCGCTTCCCAGGCCAGCTGAATGCTGACCTGCGGAAGCTGGCCGTGAACATGGTCCCATTTCCTGGCTGCATTTCTTCGTGTCTGGCTTTGCCCCACTGACCAGCCGGGGCAGCCAGCAGTACCGGGCCCTGACCGTGGCTGAGCTTACGCAGCAGACGTTTGATGCTAGGAATATGATGGCCGCCTGCGACCCCCGTCATGGCCGCTACATAACGGTGGCTTGCCATTTTCAGGGGTCGCATGCCCATGAGAGAGGTGGATGAGCAAATGTTCAACATTCAAAATAAGAACAGCAGCTACTTTGCTGACTGGCTCCCCCACAACGTCAAAACAGCCGTCTGTGACATCCCACCCCGGGGGCTAAAAATGTCAGCCACCTTTATTGGGAACAACACGGCCATCCAGGAACTCTTCAAGCATGTCTCAGAGCAGTTTACAGCAATGTTCCAGCCCAAGGCCTTCCTCCATTGGTATACCGGCGAGGGGATGGATGACATGGGATATACGGAGGCCGAGAGCAACATGAACGACCTGGTTTCTGAGTATCAACAGTATCAGGATGCCACGGCCGAGGAGGAGGAGTTTGAGGAGTGTGCTGAGGAGGAGGAGGCCTAGAACTTTCCTTTCCTAGGTAAAGGGGGGAAGCAGTGTGGATTCTTTACTGTGTTCTGACTG